AATGGAAAAGGGGTGCAGTTAGTCTTTTGTTTTTAGTGACAGTTTGTATAACCTTAATAACTCTAAGAGATAATGGAAGAACTGGGTAAGAGCTTGCTTGTAAGTGACCATTTAGTCATTTTTGCTGTATTCTACTACATATTTCCTTTCAAAGTAAAAAAAACAAACAAAAGAAGAGTATACATCCCAAACTCATAATCTTGTTCTTTATAGCTCTACTATTAAACCAAGGTAAGACTTTTCTTTGGTGTGTGCTGTAGTATGTGGTAAAGGAAGCTTTTGCAGCTTTAAAAGATACTGCAATGTTTAAACATACAGTTTTGTTTGAACTCTCTGATAGAATTACCCTGGTCACACAGATGGTTTAGAAAAGGAAATATTAATGCCTGTGTACCTTGATAGAAATATTTACCTCAAAGATGCAAAACAGGCTAAACAACATATGTTTATGTCTTTGATTACAAGCTCTGTGAAATTAGGGTCACGCTGCTCTTAAATGACCTAATATTTGAAATATCTACCAATTATTTCATAAAGGCGACAATCTTATTGACCCTCCAACATTAAACAACAAATCCTATGAACTTCGGCGCTGCAAAAGCACATTTTTTGCATGTGTGTGAAAGTTGTTATGGTTTTGTTTATTTTGTTGTTCAGGCAGCTGCAGTTTGTTGCACTGCTATCTTAAAGCAAAAAGGTTCTAGGTTTGAACACTGGCATAGGGTCTCTCTGCATGGATTTGTATGCTCTTTAAAGAGCTGTGTGTGTGTGTGTTTTTCCTGGTAGCCCATTGTCAAAATACATGACTGATTGGTTGATTGGTGTCTCTTAAAGCTACAATGTGTAATTTTCAGCTACATCTAATGACAAGACTCTAGACCACAGTGACATGAACCACCCCCACACTGCTTCTCCTTTCCAACAATAGAGAGGCGGTCGTATTACAAAATGGCTTCTGTGACGTCCGCTTTACCTATCTTGTCAAGTGATGACAAGGTTTATTTACATTAGATCGCAGCATCAAATAAATAAATTCTTCAATATTGTTGTCTCAAATAAATTGACAATCATACAATTTAGGAGATGAGAAAGTATCATGAATTGAGCACTGTTTTAGTGAAGGACCACAGAGACAAGCTTTTTCAAATCAAAATGAAAGACAGAAAATAGTTTTGAAAAGGATAAACCTCCAAAGAGGTTTGAGTGTGGCTTTTGAAAAAAGAGGTTTTAATTTGGTGCTAGAAAGACAGTTTTGTAGTCCTACCTCTCCAACAGACATGGTACAGCTGATTTCTTTTGTCATCCCTGCTTCCTGCTCTGTCACCCTGGCGGACTCCTTCAATTTCCCTTCGTCCTCCTCACTATCAGCCACAACCACATCCCTGCTTTCGAGGCTCTCTCCAACCAGCAGGCCAATCCGATCTTTCGCTGTTCTTCTTCGATCCTCCGTGGTTAGCCTCTTGTTAGCCCAGCCCAGCTGTAGCCTCTTCCAGGCCATCTACGTTGTTTCCCAGCAATCCTCTCTAAGCTGCTCAGCTCTCTTCCTGAGCTAGCAGTGACACACTGCCACCTCTGCCAATTGGGTTCCTTAGCCACAGAAGATCCCAGTGGGAAATTTGTTCTCTGCATTTGTCCCTACCTCGACTACTGCATACGGATGATTACTCACTACAATACACACTGCTTACCGGTAGATGCAGCAAATGCTGACTTCTTAAAAGAACCAAGTAATTTCTTTGGAAAGTTTGAGGCACTAAACAGTACCCCAGCATTCATCTTACTCAGTGACTACCGGCCTGACGCACGGACTCCTATCAAAATAAAGTGCTTCGAAAGGCTGGTTAAAGACAACATCATCTCCGTTCTCCCCCCCAACATTTGACCGGTTCCAGTTCGCATTCCAATGAAAACCACTCCACTGAAGATGCCACCTCCTCTGCTCTTCACCTGAGTCTAGCACACCTGGAGGAGAAGAACACCCACGTGCGGATGCTGTTCCTGGACTTCAGTTCAGCTTTCAACACCATAATGCAACAGCATTTGATTGAAAAACTGGAACAGCTGGGCTTCAATACACCCCTTTGTAATTGTCTTTTAGGCTTCCTCACAAACAGACCTCAGGCACCAGATGACACGTCTGATGTCATCACCCTAAGCACAGGCTCCCCTCATTATTGCATCTTGAGCCCCCTGCTCTTCACCCTGGTGACACATGACTACGTCCCAAGGTTCACCACCAATCTCATCCTAAAGTTTGCAGATGACACTACGGTGTTGGGCCTCATCAGAGACGACAACGACCAGGACTATAGAGAGGAGGCTGACTGGTGCAGAGAAAACAACCTGACACAGCCTGATCCCCAATGTGGCGAAAACAAAGGAGATCATCGTTGACCTCAGGAAGAACCAACTTAGCCACGCTCAACTACTCATCAACAGCTCAGCTGTAGAGGTGGTCAACAGCACCAAATTCCTGGGGATGCACATCACAGACAACCTTACCTGGACTGTAAAGATCACCTCACTGGTCAAAAGGGCACAAAACACATGTACCTCCTGCAGAGAATTTGGAGAGTCCACCTACCCTACCCATCCTCACCACCTTCTACAGAAGTACCATAGAAAGCGTTCTGACCAGCTGTCTCAGTGTATGTTGTGGAGGCTGCAGCGCCTCAGACTGGAAGAAGGTGAGAAGAGTGGTGAGAACAGCAGAGAAGATCATTGGGGCTCCTCTTCCATCCATAAAAGACATTTCATCCCAGCGCTGCGTGTCCCGAGCCCGTAACATATTCAATGACAACTCATACCCCCATCATGGACTGTTCTCCCTGTTGCCCTCTCTGAAGAGGCTTTGATGCATCCAAAGCAGGTCCAGTAGATTGCGAAACAGCTTCTTCCCAACCACCACAGACAGTACTGTTAAAAAATCTCTAAATCATGTTGCAGACTCCGCATCACACTGACAACACATGACCAAAGGCATAATTGCAACATTTTGGGGAGTGGTAGTCCAGTGGTTCATGCATAGAGCTTGGAATTCTGAGGTTTTGAGTTCGAACCCCACTCCCATGGACTGTTAGTCAAGTCAAGTTGGCTTTATTGTCAATTTCTTTACATGCACTGGTCATGCAAAGAATTGAAATTATGTTTCTTAATTTCACATGCAGACCTAGACACACTTTAAAATACAGACATACAGACATAGACAATAAATATATATATATACACAGACATACCACTTACAGACATTAAAGTGCGAGAATATAGAATTATCTATATGTATGTTCTAATAAAGAATGTACATATAGATAATTATATTACATATTAAAGTTATATCATTGAATTCCAATACACACTGTACCTTTAATTGACCTTTGTGTGTGCATGGTTGTTTGTCAAGTCTGTTTCCCTGTTTGAGCTGGGCAACAACCCTCCCTTGACTGACAGAAAAGGAAAGACATGAGGAAGTTTAATGTGTTTGTTTTCAAAAATAAAAAGTGTTTGACATGACCTAAAATATGCACCATCTAACAGGTAATCCAACTCCTGAGGAGGAGGAAGCCAGGAGGATTTCTGAGATGGGCAAACCTATTCTTGGAGAACACAGCAGACTAGAAGTCATTATAAAAGAGGCCTGTGATTTTAAGGTGTGCACCTCATAGAGAATGCTTTTAGTACTTCAGAAGTAAAGTGTCTATTTAGCTATTCTTCCTGTTTTTATGTAGAAATATGTTTTAATCCCAACTTGTTTTAAGATGTCTATATTTTGATTTAGTTTAACATGTGTACTTAAAAAGATGTACTGCAGCTAAATGCTTCAGAGGGCACTGAGTCTTGCTTCATTAACCTTTATGTGATTCCCCCCACCACCCCCCACCTCCCCAAATGCATCAGACTCCCAATGGAGTCATAGACCAGGTAAAGATTCTATTGACATACATATATATA